AATTTCTTCCACGTGCTGCCCTGCACCAAATCAATTTTACCGTAACGCAAGCGGCAGGAAAAAAGAAGCGAAGCGAGTTTTATTATTAAGTGATTATCGTTATCCGACTTTATCGGGTTATAATTGAAATACATTTTTTTTTCGTGGTGCCGAACTGGTGGCGAGAATGTGAGGAAAACAAATAAGTGAAAAGACACGACCTGATTGTTATTCCGAATACATTGCGGCACTAACTAGCATTCCAGCACTCAGGCTAACAAAAACCCAATGGGACACGTAGATATATTCACAAAAAATATAAAAATAGAACAAACTTGCGTGTGAAGTGCTAGAGAACAAAAAAACTAAATTTATTTTCAATATATTTATTAGCTTGATTTTTACAGATTAAATGGTTTAATTTCAGGGATTGTTTTGTTTTTATTAACTGTAATTCACGCAGGATTATTCCAGATGAAGTACCAACTTTTCACAGCTCCCTGTTTATACCCGCATCGAAAATATAACATAATCCGATTGTGTGTGCATGCCGAACGTGCCAAAAATTCATTCGATATTTCGTTCCGTTAGTTATTTTAATCCAGTCATTCATATGTCCACTGGAATTCATTTTTTTCCGACAGCGCAGCCATGCGCGAGCGGAACGCACGACATAAAAAGGTAATGAAATTGTTTATGAATAAATAATCGCCGATCATCGCCAGCAGATAGCACGAAATATCTGTGGCACACACGCGTTACGCGATCGTAATCATCGAACGAATGTGTCTTTAAATGACCTTCGGTAAACACGAACAATATCCGATCAATTTTGACCGTGTGCGAGCGCTAAAAACGGAAAATCTTCGTTGAGAAATCTAGGTTAATTTATAACAGATGTATATTTATATTTCTACGGTTGAGTATTGAAATATTATGCAATCGTAACTAATGATAGAGTTAAAAATCGACACAACATGTGAATGCTCTCTCATCAGTTGACAGGCGCGCATCGATCAAACAAATCGAATGGGCATGTAGCGCACTTAACTTAAGCAAACACAAGGCGTTGTATTTGTTGAATTTGTACTGTTTTGAATAATCACACAGAGGTATAGACACATACGCAGGTCGTTATGCATTTTTCAAGCTTCGGGCTTCGTAAACTATGCCATCAACGGGTTTTGCTTGCGTTGGAAGGGTGAAAACACATTAATTTTTTTTCGTAGCAAACAATCCGGTGTAACTTTGCCAGGTGTTTGGTGGAGATAAGTACAAATGGTTGAATCGTGGCAGGGCGATGACATGCTATCTCGAAGGATATTCGGTTTGTGAGTTTTCGTCATAACTCAAAAGTGTATCAAAAGTGAATTTCGTCCTTAATTGCAGAATAAATCATGTAATTGTTAGTATATTGCATAAAAAAGTAATACACGTTTAATAAATAAATTAATCGAATGCAAACAAATAAGTTATGGATGTTTTCATGTACGTTTGTTAACGTATTTGTTCCTTTAATGATTGTATGCTCGGCGCACGGCGGATTTGTCGCTAGTGTTTGCCCAAGCCCCGGCAGTTGTTCGGTGCGCCCTCGCGTCGCATTGTTTCGTCTATTTATGTGCACGTTGCACTTTACGAATGGCCAAACACCCGCACTGCACGCCATTCACCATTCTTCATTCGGCTACCGATTGCCGGCGCGTTGTCGGCTTGTTGTGCGTTCGAGAGCTTACACTATCCCGGCTGGAATACTCGCTTGATGGCCGCTGGGCAGTTACGATTTAAATGTTTGCTCGTTGGCTTTGCGAAAGTTTGCATTTTGGCATTCAAGATTCGCCAGGAGTTTACATTATGATGGGGATCATCGATTGTTTATGCTTGATCGATAAATTATGCGGGTCATCAAGGGTGTAGCGTGTCTGATCGGTGCAATCGCGTGGATTTCATGTTTGTATAATTTTTACATTTTGGATTTTGGAATAACTTAAACCATGGAAATTCAATAGACAATTTTGCAAATCATAAAAATTGCAGACGTGGAAAAGGATATTAAATACTTAGAGTAGAAAACAATTAATTACATTTATGTATAATTGAGGTTATGTTGTCGACTCGCTTTATATTGCCATATTTTCTCAACAAACGTGTTGAAAACATTAAACTTTTAATAATACAGAAAACTACATTTTCAAATTTTGGTCTCCTCGACGAAATTTTAGGGTAATCTATGAAATTTCTACGAAATATCAAAATGAAATTATTTTGTCTTTGTTTTCACTTTGAACTCGGCATATCGAGATACAGATATCGCAGGTAAATTCATCCCTACACGCTTTATTTTCCTTTTGTCTCTACGCGCAGAACGTTTCCTCTTTCGCGCACAACTCGAAATATTTATAAGCTACATATTCTGTTTGTAATTAATACGCACTGGTACGTGGCTTACCTGCAAACAATGCTCGACTAATTCGGTTGAGAGTAAAATTAATTTTAATTCTCGCCGCGTGCGGTTTTATTTAACTCTAGACTTAAAATTATTTCAAACGCTACTTATTATTTCCTCTCGCAAGTTAAAATAACGCAAAGTATGTTTGCTTATTTTTACTCAAATTAAATAACATTGTGTTAATAAATTTTAAAGCTCATTGTTAAATGGGCTTAACACCTGAAAACGTGTATTGTACTCGTTGTACGTAACGAATTGGGGAATTGCAGCTTCTGTGTTGTGCGTGGCGTAACGTGGCGCGTTAAAATTAAGCCCAATTCGTGTAACTACTAATTGCGTATTCATGAGCCACTGTTTTGCGTTCTGCGGCTGAATTTCAAAGCGAATTAAGCCGCACGCCAGACTTCGATGTTACACATCTTCTCTACCATATAATTTGTGGTATAATAACTCTTTGAGACAAGTGTCGGACGTAAATAATTAAAATAATAATTGAAGGTTTATTTAAGTATCGATTGTCTGTACGTAAAGCAAGTTTTAATTATATGACACCGCCTGACAAATAAATCAAATTTTGATGTCATTTTTAAAGAAATTCGGATGGAAAATTGTTTTGTTTGTTTTAATTACAGCACGTTTTTAATAAATATCACATTCGTAGGTGTAGGCCGTATGAAATCCGAATTACGTGGATGTATCTATGCAGAAAAGCGCGGGTGGAGTGGCGAAACGTAACGCGCATATAATGTCTCGAGCGGGCCGTAATACGAGCGCGTCCTTGATAATGATAGCGAGGGTGCTCCGCAGCCGCACGCCACTTGACCGCGAAAATGGAAGGGTTGAATGCTGAATGTGGATTTTGAATTTTAATCAAGTTAACGAGCTACCTGCCGCGGGTCGGCAGGTTCGTTCTACTGCGTGCGGCATTCCAGCCGTGGATAACGAGCAAAATTCGAAGCTGGCGTTAAATTAAAAGTCATTTCGCCAGGTTTTAGTCTTTTCATGCTTAGAAAGTATGATTTGTGAAAAAATAACCAAAATATTGAGTTTGTTAGACTACATTAACTAAATTATTAATTTTTTTGATATTTTGGTATAAAAACTATAAGAAATGACCGCGTTTTAAATTATAATTGACTTTAATAAAAATGATTAATTGATTAGAATATTTTTTGCCGCAAATGCAAAATAAAACAACTTGACTTTCCATTACCCGCAGACTGCTTGTCATTAAGCACTCGTCTCAACATTAGTTTTTGTAATTCTCATCAATAACAATGAAGACTCATTTATTTTCTTCAGCCTGCACACAATCACTACTCCACTTTGATGACCCGTCGTCCAACAAGTTTAATAAAAGAAAAGCAAAGATTTTCGTTTGTTTCGAGTGCACACAATAAAATAAATAAAAGTTTTACTTCTGCGTTGAATTACTGGTCTCGCCGTGTCACATTATATGCAGGCATTTACATAGACGCAACACAACCAAACCAAAGCTTACAGACGGACAGACAAAAAATGTCATATAAATTATTTCACCAATGGTGGGATACCTACGTTCAATTTCACTATGTTTCAAGCTTTGCTTTTTGTTGATGTTTTTCGCATTGCTATTCTTGCGCGAATGCCGCTGAAAGATTGTGTTTGTTGCCGTGTGAAAGTGGCAAAAAACGAATGAGAACTTCAAGTACGCTGAGCGACAAAAAACACAAGCGGTGAAATTCGGAAAAAAACACACGCTATAGATCAAACGAGGTGAAAAAAGTTAGAAAAATGATTCTATGACTACGATGATGATAGGCATTGTAAAAATTCCAGTAAGTATAAGGTATAGCGAACGATTATAACACACATTATTGTGTTTCTTTGTACGTAGTATCATACTCGTATACTGACATGAATTATAGTACTTTATTGCATTATAGTTGTTTGCCAGTTGAGGGCAATTTGTTCGTTAGTGTACGTTGGTGTGTGTGAAAGCACTTGAAAGTAGTAAAACTGGATCAGACGTAGTAAATTGCTTTCTATAAATAAATAAACCTTTTTTGCTACTTTGGCTGGCAGGGTCTTACTATCTTTAAGATTCCACACTCATGAAAAAGTGTTATAAGAAGTGTGGGTATCTGTTTATTGATTTTTATGTTGGAATTTATCAAATTAGACAATATAAGCTGTTTAGGGTTTAAATGACAGCATTGCAGTTGACACAACATTAAAGTGGTCATTGCTAGTGTCACGTAAGACCTGATTTTGTGTGCGGTCACATTATACGTGTTGGAAATCGAATTTGCGGGTTTGTGACACATCAGATCGTAGAGTGGACTAGGTGGTTTAATGAAAAGCCGATTCGTGGACTACCACAATTCTCTCAACAGTATCTAAGCGTAGAATGGAAAATATTGTCTCAATACACACAATAATTTTGTAGTTGCAAATAAAATTACTTTAGTTGTTTAGTAACTACGTACATTGAAGTGCACTTAATCAGTAATCTTATCACAATGTTTCCTAAAATATCGTAAAATTATTTTGGGCCTATATATAGAATATACTGATATAATTAGATTAGTTGTTGTAAACAATCCACTCAAAACCATAGTCAAACGCAGTTTTGAATCAAGACAAAACCCAAAATGACAAAAGTATTGTTGATTTTTGCTTTGTGCGTTGTTGTAAGTTACTAAATATTTATTACTAGACAAAAATCACTTTTAATTAATAATCATCTTATTTTATTAGGGCACTTTGGCCGTATCTAGTCCAAAAATTGCCAGAAATGCCTTTGAGTTGATTCGCATGCAACAGCATTTAAAGTCGATTGATGGTGACCTTGCAGCTTGCGCCAAAATTCTTGCAGGAACTGTTGCTAATGCTCTTTTTGCAAACTATTTATCCTTAGTAGGGTGTACTGAAGAATGTGCTGGAGAGTTAGTTGCCCTTCAAGAAGAAATCACAATTGTTGTCGAAGGTCTTGTTCAAGATGTTGAAGAACAAATTGCCGCTTTCCAAGCTTGTGGTGATGATCAAACATGCAAAGCTAATGTCGTAAAGGAGATCGCTGAAATTATAAGTGCTAGTATTAAGGACCTGAAAGAAATTGTTAATAAACATTTAACCATCTTAGAAGACAAATTTCCAGAAGCTGCTGAGTGTGCTCGAGCTTCTTTCCAAACATTTGCTGAAACATTGCAGGCAGCAGAAGAAGATTTTGTGACTTGTCTTAAAAATTAAATGCAATAAACTCAAATTATTTTGATACTTAAATCAATATTTATTAACTTTTTATAAACAATTTAATTATGCAGATGCACAAGCGATAAACTCCCTTCGAGCAGTAATTAACTGATCATTAACAAATACATCATAAGCAGCGCGTGCGCATTCGCTCACATTTGGGCAGACATCCAGCATGTCCCCTAGACCGGAGTAGATAATTGAATTGATAGCTAGTATACTTCCTTGCAGCATGTTATCCATCGATTCAACACATTCCTCTTCACATGTTTTATCTCCATTACAAGCAGGGAAACATTGCATTACTTGTGTTAACCCATAATCGTACATTGCCAACATACCAAGGGTATCACTTTCAATCAATTGAATTTCTTTTGAACACTCATTTGTTGCACATTCTGTGACAATCTTATTATTCGCAATTTTCAATTTTTCGATAGACAATGCCCAAGTTTCATGGCATTTGTTAATATCAATGTCAACGGGCTTTAAATTGCAAGGAGGACCAGCTAAAGTACACTGTAAATTAATAACAAATGATAGGTTAAACACTGGTATTGATATTAAATTTATTACATACAGTAATGCACAAGGCTGTGAGGAAAAAAATTTTGTCCATTTTGAGTTTACTGTTATTTTGTTCAAATCGTCTGAATAACTAAAGTATTTGTGTACCACTTTACCAATTTATACCTAAATATGTAATCTGAATTACTTAGCATAATAAGAAGGGAGATAAGCTTCTTTGTGAAGTGTTTTTTGGGAAAACTTATCATTGAATTACTAAGTCGTTGGGTTTTTGTTCTATTTTCGAATTTGGTATTACCCAGTGCAAAAACTGCAAAAATAAGGTCAAAGTAAGCAACCTGGCGACTGAAATTCAGTTGTGTACACAAATATACCTTTGAGAAATCAAGCCAACCCGATATTCGATATAATCAGCTCCAATCACATGCACTAGTTGCGACTCTGCGCTTGTAACTACATATCGACCATGCCAAATAGTCATTTTAGTGCAATAGATACATATTTTCTCGCAGTAGCAATACCCTGAAGAAAGTTTTTTGTTTAAATATTAATACATGTCCTTCAATTTGAAGTCAACACTGCATGTCCGGTTTTATTCAATTTGTCTGCATATAAACAAATAAACCTGTTTTGCTACTTTGGCTGGCAGGGTCTTACTATCATTAAGATTCCACACAGATGAAAAGGTGTTGTAAGAAGTGTAGGTATCTGTTTATTGATTTTTATGTTGGAATTTATCAAATTAGACTATTTTAGCTGTTTAGGGTTCAAATGACAGCATTACAGTTGACACAACATTAAAGTGGTCATTGCTTGTGTCACGTAAGACCTGATTTTGTGTGCGGCCACATTATACGTGTTGGAAATCGAATTTGCGGGTTTGTGACACATCAGATCGTAGAGTGGACTAGGTGGTTAAATGAAAAGCCGATTCGTGGACTACCACAACTTCCTCAACAGTATCTAAACGTAGAATGGAATAAAATGTCTCAGTAAACGCAATTATTTTGGAGTTCCAAATAAAATTACTTTAGTTGTTTAGTAACTAAGTACATTGAAGTGCACTTAATCAGTAATCTTATCTCAATGTTTGGGCTTATATACTGATATAATTAGATTAGTTGTTGTAAACAATCCACTCCAAATCATAGTCAAACACTGTTCTGAATTTAAAAAAAACCTACAAAAATGGGAAATGTTTTGCTGATTATTGCTTTGTGCGTTGTTGTAAGTTGCTAATTATTTATTACTAGACCCAAATATCATTTATTTAATATTACAAATATTTTATTAGAGCACCTTGGCCGTACCGAATCTCAAAATTGCTAGAAATGCCCTTGAGTTCATTCGCATGCAACAGCACTTGAAGTCTGTTGATGGCGACCTCGCGGCTTGTGCCTAAATCCATGCAGGAACTGTTGCTAACGCCCTTTTTCCAAACTATCTATCCCTAGTAGGATGCACAGAAGATTGCGCTGGAGAATTAGTTGCCCTTCAAGAAGAAATCACAATTGTTATTGAAACTCTAGTTCAAGATGTTGAAGAACAAATTGCCGCTTTCCAAGCTTGTGGTGATGATCAAACATGCAAAGCTAATGTCGTAAAGGAAATCGCTGAAATTATAAGTGCTAGTATTAAGGACCTGAAAGAAATTGTTAATAAACATCTAACTATCTTAGAAGACAAATTTCCAGAAGCTGCCGAGTGTGCTCGAGCTTCTTTTCAAACATTTGCTGAAACAGTAGAAACAGCTGCACATGATTTTGTTACTTGTCTTAAAAATTAAATACAATAAACTTTTATTATTTCTGTACTTCAATCAATATTTATTATTTAAATTAGGCTGACGCACAAGCAATAAACTCCCATCGAGCAGTAATTAACTGATCATTAACAAATACATCATAAGCAGCGCGTGCGCATTCGCTCACATTTGGGCAGACATCCAGCATGCCCGCAAGACTGGAGTAGATAATTGAATTGACATATAGTATACTTCCTTGCAGCAGGTTATCCATCGATTTAACACATTCCCCTTCACATGTTTTATCTCCTTTACAAGCAGGGAAACAATGCATCCATTGTGTCAACCCATACTCGTACATTGCCAACATATAAAGGATATCACTTTCAATCAATTGAATTTCTTTTGAGCACTCATTTGTTGCACATTCTGTGACAATCTTATTATTCGCATTTTTAAAATTTTCGACCGACAATGCCCAAGTTTCAAAGCATTTGTTAATATCAATGTCAACGGGTTTTAAATTGCGAGGAGGACCAGCTAAAGTACACTGTAAATTAATAACAAATTATAGGTTAAACACTGGTATTGATATTAAATTTATTACTTACAGTAATGCACAAGGCAGTGAGGAGTAAAATTTTGTCCATTTTGAGTTTACTGTTATTTTGTTCAAATCGTCTGAATAACTAAAGTATTTGTGAACAACTTCACCAATTTATACCTAAATATATCATCTGAACTACTTAGCACAATAACATGTGTGATAAGCTTCTTTGTGAAGTGTTTTTTGGGAAAACTTATCATTGAATTACTAAGTCGTTGGGTTTTTTGTTCTATTTTCGAATTTGGTATTTCCCAGTGCAAAAACTGCAACAATAAGGTCAAAGTAAGCAACCTGGCGACTGAAATTCAGTTGTGTACACAAATATACCTTTGAGAAATCAAGGCAAACCGATATTCGATATAATCAGCTCGAATCACATGCACTAGTTGCTACTCTGCGCTTGTAACTACATGTCGACCATGCCAAATAGTCATTTTAGTGCAATAGATACATATTTGCTCTTAGTAGCAATACCCAGAAGAAAGTTTTTTGTTTAAATATTAATACATGTCCTTAAATTTGAATTCAACACTGCACTTCCGGTTTTATTCAATTTGTCTACATAGTCGACTTACTTGGCTTCACATATTAACTATAATTTACAAACGCTGGCCCCAAAGCAACCAAAATGCACTCGGTTGGCCAGTTGCAGTATAAGATAGTATTGCGTCTGCAGCAGCGCGGAATGTCACAAACCAAGGACTTGTACGGCGTTGCCTCAAGGACTTTACATAAACTGTCCATAAATTTAATTGTTTATTTAATATAGTACCCGAGCTAGCGCTCGACTTCCGCAACTTGTTTTCGTATTTCGACAACGGCGTGTGTGCGCCTCCGCTTTTCGTAATTGCCTCTTGCATATTACTTGCCACATTTGGAGACTTATTATTGCCGCTATTAAATTCCGCACTCCGCATCCACTCGCCAACAATGTACGCATATTATTTATGAACTCCTCATCAAAATTCACTTCAGGTAATTATTACCTAATCAAATGGATAGTTATGCTTCTTATTGAACTTAAGAAATAGATTTAACATGCCAAATTAATTATTTATAAATAAATGTGGTGAAATTTTGATGTTTTCGGAAGAAATTGAAATTGGAATACGTTTAAAACGTGTGTTTATCAAACATTTCGCATTACGCAAGTAATTTGAACGTATGTAATAGATACATGTAGGTAATTCTTGTGGGCGTCGAATTTCAGGCGGGAATAAGCCAGTAAATAATTTGCTCTTGTAATGCCGATAAGAACATGTGTGGCCTGTTATTATGTACCATGTTTCATGCGATGCGGCACGGCGCGTTCGTGAATTGTGACGAAAACAGCGTCGAACATTCCTTTGTGTTGTGTCGACTCGCATTACCATGTTTTATTGCCAACCGCGGAATTTCGCGCAAACGCACCAACGGAAGGTGCAAAAACAAGAAACCCGCCCGCATCGTCGATTAATCATTCTATTGTCCGCAATTCAGGCCAGCGGAAACTACGCACATTAGACATATTAATTTTTAATTACCTATCATTTTTAAAAGACTTATATTTCTTACAGTGTTGAACCGTCTGTTGGCACGGAAATTGTGTTTATAAAATACATAAAAGTCAATCGTAAAAAAGCGGTATTATCTTGCGTCTTTGCGGGAGATTTACCCACCTGTATTTATCGCGCCAACATCGCATTGCATTTTTAAATTATTCATAAATACTTGCTGTCGTCGTGAAGGTTTTATTCGATTTTTTTTGTCGCGTCCCGCACAATGTCGTAAATTTTTGGCGGTGAATATTATGCGCACCGGAATCATTGCCAGGTGATAAAAGCGACGGCGTCAGGACTCTATGACTCTAAAAACCAAAGCCAAATACCTCCAACTAACACTCCGACGGATACAAGCTTCTAAAAAACGCTATCACTATCATAACTTACAACGAATGCGTTTTTTCCGACGTCAGTGTCCTCGTAAAATGCAAATATTAAATGTTAATCCAAGTGTATTTTATTTCCACAGAAAAAGTATTTTTTTTTTTATTTTTATTTAAAATTTGTAAGACAAAAATATATTGAAGACATATTCATATATGGTGAGGCTGAGGCTGGGATGGCGTCAACTTAGAAATAGAGAGACTGCCAAAATTCAAAATCCAGCGCACCGT